CGGATTTCGACCGCGCGGCGGCGGCCACCGAGGGGTTCTCCGGCGCGGACCTCCGGCTGCTCTGCCGCGAGGCCGCGATGGGGCCGCTGCGGGAGATCCCGATGGGGGCGCTCGGCGCCGTCGCCTCGCGGGATCTCCGCCCGGTCGACGCGCGCGACCTCGCGCAGGCGCTTCGTCGGATCAAACCAAGCGTCGGCCCCGAGGAGGTCCGGCGGTATGCGGAGTGGAATCGGCAATACGGCTCGTTCATGATGGAGGACGGGGGGGAGGAGGCGCCTCCAGCCAGCGATACCCTCCGGCCCTAATCCAGCCGAGGGGATTCGCAATGGAAATCGAGAGGGGAACGATGAAGATGAAGATGGAGGGGGAAGGAGCTCGTTGAGGGGCGTTTTTAGGGATGGATAGAAACGGATGGGAAAGCCGGAGCAGGGATGCGTCGAAGACAGGGGGGAACCCTGTGTGGGAGATCCGATGGGCGGTGTGGGATTCGCTCGCCGTCGCGTATTTCCCAAAGAGGTCCTCTCTCTGGCATGGTCAGATCGTCGTTGTGGGGTAGTACTTGCATAGCGGACTCATCTTGCTGCTAGATAGATCGATAGACATACAACCAAGGGTAAGAATTTTAAAAAAAGAAAAGAAAAAACTAAAATTCACCAACTAAAAAGTACAGGATGATGAATACTTTACTTTTGTGGATCTTCATGCCTCTATGATTAGCTTTGGCGTTTCCCTCTCGTTCCCCTTCATCTCAATCCATAGGAATGTTAATCCCCATCTCGGAACTACACAACCATGTCGAAGAGGCCTATGTGATCCGCTTAGGATAAGATCCTTTGTCTAGCACGGAGTATTATCTAAACCCTATCGGTGCGCGTTGAAGCGAGGATGTGCATCGCTTTACGGATTCGGCTTCCACTGCGGTTAACGGGGATTCCCTCGTTGGGTTTTTTTTTTCTTTGTTGATATTGTCTTACAAAGAACGGGCAAATCAATGCATCTCAAATTTCGCAACCTCATTTTCGAATAGGGATTGAAAACGTTCCACGTCCATCGTTTAGTGGAACTAACAACCCGAAATGGGGATGCTACTTGTTTCATTCCCTTATTTTCCTTCCATAAGTGATATGTGGATAAAGATTCATCTGCTTCGGATTATTTACATAAATGGATCCTTTTGTTGTATCCTGTGATTTGGTCTTCTTGGGAGGGAAAAGAGAGGGGAAGCGAATGGCTGTACCCCACACACTCCAATCAAGTCTAACTGGAACCGACAACCCGTCTCTTCCTCTCCCTCTTCCATGAAGCACGAAAATGGGCAAGACGCCCTCGAAACCCGCGCAACGGAATTGTCTAGGTTGAACCATGCATGAAACGCACCTCATAGCCTGTTAAGATGAAATCGACTTCATTTTCTTTCTTTCTTTTTCTTCTTCTGTAGCGCAGTTAATTCTGAGGCAAATATTAGAAAGGTACTGGAAGGGAGAAGGAGAATCATCAGCCAAACCCAGGCCCTTGGAGCGAGAGCTTACGCGGATACGGAAAGATGACCGAGGATGACCTCTCACGCAAGAAGCAATCCGTCATCGACGTCAGTCAGCGCAACCACCTGGAGTCAATCCAGAGTGAAACGCGTAAGAATAACGAGTTGTTAACCTCGCTTCGACGCGAGAATAAGGAGCTTCAGCTCTCCCTGCAGCAGGCGCTGCGCGGGCAGCGGAACATCGACATCGACGCGCACTACCAAAAAGAGGAGGAGCTGCTGCACAACAAGATGTGCGTCCTCAAACGAAGCCTGAACGCGATCAAAGGAAAGAATATGGAGCTCACCCGCGAGATCGAGCGGGTCGTCGAGGAGAACAAATACATCCAGATCGAAAGCAACAACACCATCATCGACAAGAACTCCTTCATCGCGCAGAAGATCCGCGCGCTGGAGAACCGGCTCGACAAGTGTCTGATCAAGCACAACGAGGTGAACACGATCCGCCGGACCTACGAGACGCTGCTGGAGCGGCTGCAGCTCGAGCAAGGCGGGTTTGATACCCAGCTCCTCTCCGCCGAGAAGGCGCTTCGGACGACGGAGAAGGAGATGCAGGAGTTGATCGACGTCGGCAAGGACGCCGCGCGGGCGCGGGATCAGGCGCGCGCGGAGGTCGCCGCCCTGAAGGCGCGCCTGCAGGAGGAGCACCGG